TGCTTATTATTATTTTTAATCATATGTTTTAAACAGTTTTGATACTGTGAATTAATTAAATCTATTTTAATGTTGATATTTTGTATGCTTTTATCTATATTGTACTTGTTTTAATTTGTAAGATGTCTTGGGTCCAGGTTTTGCAAAAAAAAGAAAAAGTTATTAACTGCCTTTGCATCAATTTTGACCCATGGCGACCCTCTGGATAAGACATCTCCAGCCCCCCCCCCACACACACACACTCCTCTGCTGCTCTGCCCAGCTCCTGCAAACTCATATTCATGGTCTCTTTAATAAAGTTCATCCATCTAGCATGTGGCCTTCCTCTATTTTTACTTCCCTCCATCTTTCCTAACATTACTGTCTTTTCCAACAGTTCATGCCTTCTTATGATGTCTCCAAAGTATGACAGTCTAAGTCTGGTCATCTTGGCTTCTAGGGATATCTCTGGCTTGATCTGCTCTAGGACCCATTGGTTTATCCTTTTGGCTGTCCATGGGATCCTCAGCACTCTTCTCCAGCAACACATCTCAGAAGAGTTGATTTTCTTCCTGTTATCTTTCTTAACTGTCTAGCTCTCACATCCATACAAGGTATTAGGGAATAGGGAATAAAGTTGTAACCTTTTCCCTTCCAGTTGGCTCCTCCTTGTTTGCACATGGGAGCTACCAGCAGCCTCTATCATTGACTTTTTTGTCCTCCTCCTTACATTTACCCAATTTTCCTTTAAGCCATCTAAGGCTCTGCTACAGCCTCTGCTGCCACCTGGGGTCGACTCACCCTAAAAGGTAGGATATAGATAAAGACAAATAGGATAATGATTGTGATAGTGGTGGTATATAAAATATAGTAACAACAACAATTTCAGAGGTTCCCTGGGTTTCTAGATAGACAGACCGAGAGGACAAATGGTGTATGTATGTGGTTTCAAAAATATGGATAAATAATAAGCATATAGTTGAAAAGAACAGCCTGGAACAGATTATTACTTCATTGAAATCAAACCTGTCCGCACTTCCATTTCCAGGGCTCTGCAGAGGGGGCACTCACAAAATGTCTCTGCTTCAGAGAAGACGCGGGCTGCAACTCTACGGAGCTCCTCGATGCCCCATGAAAGGTCCATCCCCTTTGTCAACATACCTCTGGCTGATGGGCAGGTATGGTACCATCCACAGGTGGCTATAATGGAGCTGTGTCTATTTGACAGTTAGATATTCTGTTATTTAATACTATTTCAATCTTAATTTTTAATGGGTTTTACTGTATTCTCTGCCTTTTTTGTATACTACCATGAGTCACAGCCTGGGAGTAAGGCAGGATATAAAAAATGATGGTTGGATGGATATCACGATATCCAGGTTCAAATCTAACAAACGCTTGAAAAATAATAACCAAACAGTACTGATTTCCAGTTCTTATGGAGGAGTGATGAAGTGGGAGGCATCTTTTAACTATCCAGAAGTAGTCTTACGGTGGCAGGCCTCCTCTGCTGTGGCTCTGCAGCAACTGGTATTAAGTGACAGAAGAATGCCTTTGAATCCATGGTGGTTCAGTACAAGTGTAATAGTTGTCATGATTTAATGGTTTCCAAATTTTGCTCCTCCGGCTGTTTTGGACTTCATCTCCCAAAAGCCCCAGCCAGTTTGGCCAACTGTCAGGAATTCTGGGAGCTGAAGTGAAAAACATCTAGAAGACCAAAGTTTGGGAATCACTGACTTAGGGCCTCTAAATGGTGGCAGCTGGAGGCTCTCATGGCATTCAGATAGTCAGGCAATTCAGCCTGAAATGTAGGAGTTATCCAAATGCTGAACCTGCTTCGAATAAATGTTTCAGCACCTTGGAGAGCTCCTTTTAAAACCTTGAGCAAATTCACTGCCCACTCCTCCTTGCCTCAACATGGAAGCTACCAGCCACCTCTGTTATTGACTTCTTATCCTCCTCCTTGCACTTATCCAATTTTCCTTTAAGGCATCTAAGGCCTTGGCCACAGCCTCTGCTGCCACCTGGGGTCTACTCACACTACACAGTTTTAGTACTTTGATTCCACTTTAACTGCCATGACAATGTCCTGTGGAATCCTGGGATTTGTAGTGTAGGGAGAAGCAAGTAGAATTCACAGCCAGAGAAGTCTCAACACTGCATCAGACTACGACTCCCCGGATTCCCTAAGCAGTTAAAGTAGTGCTAAATGTTTGCTGGGCATACGTTGTGATGGCAGGAGAGGAAAATGCTGCAGGTTCAGGATCTATGGGGGAAATAAATCACTTTCCACTGCCACAACTCAACAGTGGGAAAAGTGGAACTGTTTGTGTAGGACTAAGACTAGGTTCTGGACTAGGTTTCAGCTGCAGAAATGTAGCAGTGACCCCTTTGGACATTATTTCAGAACTTTGTTCAACAGGGATTGTGTTCAGCAGGTCATAGAGGAGGATCCATAATTGGATTATTCTAATAAATATAATAATAATAGGATGGAGTGAATCATAATGGAAGAGCTGCCCATCTTCCTTTCCATAATGGGGGTAACTGGAAAACCTTTCAGCAGGAATGAATCCCTGCCTAGGAACAATATTTTCATGAGCTATTCTGAGTAGTGTGAAAGCACAAGCAGACTGAGTTATACATTTCTAGACTGAAGCAATTTGGCTGGAATCCTGTAAGTGACACATAATGTCAAATTCCATCTTCACATGTCCTTCAGTGATCCTTGTGGAAGGAGATATTTGCTATCCCTTTTACTTAAGGTTCCCTGCCTATCTTTTGCTGTTTAGTGGCCAGAGTCAGGAGTGCAAGCATCACCTAGCTAGATGCACAAAGCCAGATGCACAAAGAGGTTGTCATCTTCCAGGACCTCCAGACAAACCCTGGCAGATCTTGGAAGATGTCTCCTTCCCCATGCATAGCTGGATGCTGCTTGGCCAACCCTCTTCCCATTCATCATTAAATGGCTGTGTCTGTGGGGATTTGAGAGGAGGCAGCAGAGGAAAGGTGGATTTCACATATACAGATTGGGGAGGGAATGGTAGAGCTTTATGCCCCACCAGATCCATTTGGGACCTCATCCATTGCTTTGTTCAAGTGTGCATGTGAGATGGAGATGAACACATTACTCTCCCTGCAGCATCCAAACAGCCCCTTTCTCCTCTTTGTTCAGACTCTCTGCTCAGCTGGCGATGATCTCCAGAACATCAATGTGGAGTTATTAAATGATGACACTGTCCAACATATCCACACTCTAGTGGTAAGTAGGCAAAACAAATTGGTTTTGAACATGGCAAGGCCTCTCCCCACAAAGACAGGAATGTGCATGTTGAAAGTATCCTTTTTGGGAACATACTGTTCAGTTTCTCCTTTTCAACAATGCCTAATTAGACTTCGAAGCCTATTTCTCCTTCAATCCAACTCAACTGTTTTTGTGTCACGAATAATCTTTAGCTAGTTCCGTGGTTGACAAAAAACTTTGGCTGGGGGAAAAAGCCTCATGGAAACTCTGTTATATGCCACCAAATTTATAGAATCAGAAAGTTAGAAGAGACGACAAGGGCCATCCAGTCCAACCTCCTGCCATGCAAGAACTCACAATCAAAGCACCCCAACAAATGGCCATCCAGCCTCTGTTTACAAACCTCCAAAGAAGGTCATGCTGCCAACTTCTTGCTTTCAGTTAGTCTCAAATATGCTGCACGATCGCTCTACAAACTAACACGGCTATATTTTTGAAATTACACATTGATGTGCAATATGCAACTATGCCCAACCATACAATCAACGCACCACAATGTGCAATGCTGAGGATCCTATATTGGGAGACAGGCGGGATATAAACGCCATAAATAGATAAATAAATGAAATGCACAATAATGCAAAGTGGCACCACAGTGTACAATTCCGCTTTTGTAAACTGTCAACTGAAAACGTGTGCTATGCATTAACTAAAAATGTTCACCCACTTGCGTAGGGAAACATATGTGCCTGTAAGATGGAAATAGGATGCAAGCCTATGAGTGATAAAACATTTGCAGCTTACAGTAACTTTGGAGTTACTTTCATAGTTACAGGCCGCAGTAACCTTGTTAAATGGCGGTGGACTATTGCGTTGGCTTGCGCTGTAACTTGTGCTCTGTTGCAGTTGTTGAGGCAATGAGTTGGAGGGAATGCAAGGTATTTTGTACATGTTAGAATCTTGTAGCATTCAGAGGTGTTAGAAACCAAATGCTAATCTGGAAAAGCAAAAAAAAAAAAATAGCAGAATTATATATATTTAAGACTACAACTGTTAAAATAGTAACTAACTAGTTTTTGGGGTCTCATGGATGTAACCATAATAATTTATTCCAAAAAAGTAACTTTCCATGCTCCGTCTATTGTCTATACAATCTACTGTGTATCTGTTTCTTCCTCAGAGCCAGTTGACGGTCCTCTGTGGAAAAGCAACAGTCAAGTCAAGTTGACGGACATGACATTTCCCCTCCAAGTTAATGCATCTAAATATTCAACCTTGTGCTCCTTATGGTGTTGTTCCCTCTAAAGTGAGGGGCAACTGATTTTAAGCCCTTCTTACACAGTATAGTAAAGGCCATATTTGGTCTATAAATAAAAGTTTGTTTTAAAATGTTGACTTCTCCATCGGAACATAAAAGCAGAAACTGAAAATTACAAAAAGGGATTTCTGATTTATGTTTAGAGGATGTTTTCTAGGCAATCATCTTGCAAATATTTATATGGCCACACAATAGTCTTCCTGTGTAGCAACCGTATCGATTTATATTAAAATTCAGCATGTGGAAGTGCAATGGGGAAGGAGGGTACCTCTCCGGCCAATGATACCAGCTAATTCTGATGTTATCAAACTGGATCCAGGTACATTTAGCTTTACCTATACATTCAATTGTTTTTAATGGTTATTCTCTACAATGGATCTACCCCAGTGGCTAGAATCTTCTTGGTGGTGACATATGCACATGCAAACCCTCATTATACTTGCGTACATATTCTGAAAAGCCAGCATGATGTAGTGGTTTGAACATTGAATTATGACTCTGGAGACCAAGGTTCAAATCCCTGCTCTGCCATGGAAACCTACTGGGTGCTCTTAGGCAAGTTCACACTTTCTCAGACTCAGAGGGAGGCAAAGACTGAAGACATCTTATCAAGAAAACCCTGTAATAGGGTCGCCATAGCTTGGAAGTGACTTGAAAGCACACAACACATACAAAACAAAATATTTATGGAAGCGGTATCCGTACCTTGTTCACATGACTGAGATTCTAGATCAGGATGACAAATTATTAATCTACCTGGGAACGCCCAAGTCCTCTCTTGGCTGCTAAAAAGATGTGAAGGGCACCCACTGGCAGGCGACAGGTAGGCTGTGCGTATTTCTATGCTGCCTTTCTCCCAAAAGGGACCCAAAGTAGCTCACAATATAGATGCTTGGTGTATATGCTTGGTGGAGCTTTATACTTAACCAAGCCAATGTATGATCTCTGCCATTTTGTCCATCCAAACTCACACTGCCATTAGAAATTTTGAGCACAACTGTACAAACATGTTACAAGCTTCAGTGGTGTCCTTGGTTTTTCAGATCCTGGCCAGGGATCTGTCTGGAAGCATAACTCCTTGATGACAGCAGAAACCGTTCTCTCCATTGCATTAGCTAAGGATGTCCCCAGACAACCCTGCTAAGTCAGGTTTACTAACTGGAGGGAGAGAAATGTGAAGGCGACTGTGTGCTGGCCAATTGCCAAGAACTTAAGGGAAGCTCTGCTGTAAGCTTTGCAACAGCACTGTATACATGGAATCTCTCGTTGCTACATTTAAGATGTTATCATGGTCTTGCATCTTTTGCAGCATCCAGTTAGCACTGTGGTCCCCCTTATATTTGCATGCAACTACAAGAGAAAAATACTACAGGTGGAGTTGGTGGGACTTTGGCTTTTCACACAATAGTCTGAACAACAGTTCCCATAATTTCTAACCACTCACCGTGTGGGCTGAGGCATTTTCCTTCCAGTTCTCCTTTTTGGGGGGGAAAAGAGAAAAAACGACAAAACAGATTACATGTTTTTCTTAGTTCTACCACCAACACAGGCCCATCTGGTGAGAATATGATAGCTTTCTCAATGGCTATCAGCCTCTGGAATTCCGTTCCCTCTTTTTTTTCCAACAGGCAGAGTCCTTTTTGTTCAAGCAGGCTTTTAATTATTGTTTTCATGCCCAATTGCTTCCAGGGAGTCTCTTTGTGGGGTGCATGTCCTTCATTCTTTTTGTTTTTGATTGTTATGCTTTTAAACCCTACGGTTTTAATACAATTTTTAAATTATGTTTTAATTTTCACAATCAGATTTTAGCTGCTCTTTCTCTTTAGTCTGTGAGCCATCTTGGGTCCCACAATAGGACATAGGCAGCATAAAAATGAAGTATTTTCAGCTCAAGATTAATTTTAGGTATGACTTTATGAAAAGAAGGAGATTACAAGGAGTATCATTATACACCAAGTTTTTATTCCGTTTCCAAAACCTTTCACAAGATGGTAAAAAACTTTTACAACCACTTCTAATTTTTGTTTTTAATCTTCCATGGTTCCCCATCAGTTCTATCCCATTCTTGTGCCAAGCCCATTTACTTACCATGCATCTAAAGTGATAGATACAGGCTATGAAATTCTTTATTCTATTTGTAGCAGCTTATGCAGGTGCAGCCAAATACCAAGCCTTGGGACAGTTTTACACAAAACTTTACAATGTAGAATTTGAATTTAAAATATAGAACTTAAAATCTACACAAAAACTGGTAAAAATCAAGCACAGATACAAGGACTGAAACTTAACCCAAGTGAAAAGGAGTCTCATCTTCCTTTGAAGTGCCTTTATTCTGCTACAGAACAGTCAGTCAGTCAAAAAAAATGAAGATGTAAGCTTTTTTTGTGGTTAGTTTAAATTATACACTCTGTATATACTTATGGACCAATTTAAAAGTTACACATACAGCAACAGATGTCCATTGGGCTCATGTGGATTGCTTGTACAATCCAATTGGATTGCTCAAAACAAATCAGGCAAATTTTGAAGAGAAAAATCCATGTGTAACTTCCCCCTCCCCTCCCTGACACCCCACACAAAACTTTTACTGATGGGCACACTGTACCCCAGGTCCATGATGGCCACTTTCATCATCAGAACTATCATTGTAAGCTTCACGCCTCTGGCCACCAGTTGAACCACGAGTGCTATCAAATTCCTGGAGATCTACCTCCTCTGCTTCACTAATTATGTTGGGGACATCTGGTCTGGCAGGCAGCAGATCTTCAAGTTCCTGCAAAATACGCATGGGAGAAATAGGGATGAAAAAGGGAAGATTTATAGGCCCACAGCTTTCTAGTCTACTTGGCCAGCATACTTCCTTTCTCCTCCCCTCACTCATCAAACAATTGAGCTTTATAAACACTGTGCTCTTTTCCAATAATGTAAAGGCATGTTTCAGAGTGTGTGTTTGTGTTTAGTCTGATATCCTGTTAGTGACATAAATGGCAGAAGTTGGATTATTTTGATTTATTTTATTTACATGCAGTCTTTTTCCCAAAGTGGTTGTTGTGCAGGGAGGAATTCATCACCTCCCTCACACACTGTCTCCTTCGAAACTAACCTATTGCCTGTAAAGGCCCCCCACAACACGGCCATGTAGCAGGTAGTGCAGTGGGAGTCAGTGGAGAAACATTTGGCTACATATTTATAGCAGGGTTACAACTGCATCCACTGAGACCTCCCAAGGATCTGCTGAAGATCCTGGGGGATGTTTTTGTCATTGTATTTCAGGTTACAAGAATACAGGCAGACAATTTTTTGTTTCTGCTGTGTGTTTTCATATCGTTTCCAACTTATTCCAACCCTATCACTGGGTTTTCTGGACTGAGTGTGTCTGCCTTTCCCAAGGCTACCCAGTGGGGTTCTCTGGCTGAGCAGGGACTCAAACCATGATCTCCAGTTGTAGTCAAATGCTCAAACTGCTACAGCATGGTGGATCTTCCACCAGATGCTAATGCCCATGAACATTAGTGGGGGGAGAGTAGAGAAGATGGATCGGAGTTCCACCTGGGTAGATCTTTATGCTCTATCTTCCCATGCAGGAATCATCTTGCAAATTTGCCTGCAGTACAAAAACAGAGGTCCATCTAATAGGCAGTCTGTTTCTTACAGTGGCACCAGATTGTTTTTCAATGCTGGCATTCAGTCTAAGCTCCTCTAATGCCATCGTATTATGTGGCAGAGTATTCCACAAGCTATGCTCTGCATATAGTTGTTTCTTTTGCCTGTCATAAATCAAATGCCAATTGTTCTCTCCACATAGGTAGCAACTTCATATTGTCTTGAGGGTTTTCCCCCCAAAAGTATGGAACATTGTTAGCACAAACAATAGCCCTCTATTTTTTTTAATCGTACTAATAAGTCAAACCCACCTGTTTTAACATTTCTGCCCAGGTATGAGTCATTGGTACCTGAGATGAATTTGCTGTCATGACCCAACAGTAATGAACAAAGCTATGATTGCAGCCTACCTATGTAACCATAGATTAAAATTGGCATGTTAACAAATGTGATGGATATATAAAAACCTTGGGACTCTGCTGCTGAGATGCACATAAGATCAGCATTTTAGACCCAGGATACTCACTGTAAGCTTTTCTGGGCTAATCCAGTTATTATCAGGAAACTGCACATCAAACTTTATATAAAGATCTCCCTTTTCAAAGGGATTGCGGTACTGAGGCATCCCTTCCCCTCGTACAACACGGACACAGCCTAGCATAAGAGAAAAAGACACCAGAGAATTATTATGAGGCAGTCTACAGATTCCCGCTGTACAAAACCAAATGTAGAAATATCATAAGGTAAAAATGGGATGATCACAGCCTTTCAAAGCCCCCCCCCCCATGCAAAACCCATTATCAAGTTATACCTGGTTCAATTACTTTTCCTGGGGGATATTTCACCACAATCTGGCGTGCATCAAGGTGCTTAAATGTGAACTGAAAGCCACACAGTGCTTCAACAAGTCCTATCTTGTGTGTCATGTGCAAGTCATTTCCATCTCTCTGGAACACCTTGGAAAAGGGGGAAGGAAAACTGATTTAGCAACAATGGGGACAGATCTATAAGAAGGTGACTACCATAGACAAAACAAATTTCAAGAGGTAAGGTCAGCTTTAGCAGATTTTCACTGTTTTAACTCATCAGTTTGTGCTAGCCTCCTAGTTCTAACTGTTCAACGACAGAACATAAATCCCTAGGAAGGGTGATTTACAGGAAGGACAAATGGGCCAACACAATAGGCACTGGGACACAGTTGTATCTGTAAAGTCACATATTATTTGAGAAAGTTAAATGTTAATCACATCAGCTCTTCTGAGAAATGTAGTTATGGAAATTCAGTCCACTGTCAGTTTTCTAGGAAAATTTATCATTAGACTGCCTGCAAAGTTTTAAAAGTCACCAATACTTGCACACTTGCATTTTTAACATATGCTTAAGATGTAGGGAAGTGGCTAGAAGACTGTTGGATATGTGTCTATACTCTGAGAGAATATGGACTGTTGAATTTGTCCTGCACTCCAACGAAAACAAAGCATGACTACACCAAGCCATATTTGTGTATACTCATTCAATTCCTCTCTCATTCCCTTTTCCCATGGTTAAAATCTCATATCATGTCAGCTAAGTTCTACTATGCATTAACCTGACAGGAAGAGGAGGCAGAGATACATGATCCTACATAAGCTTACTCAAAACATGAAATCCAACAAGACATATTCCAATGTCACACCTCATATATTCATGGCCATTGCTTAGCTCATAGACCAAAGTCTCAACTACTAAAGTCTAGAGGGGCAGGAAAATATGCTCCAGAAATTTCTATTCCCTCTTGAATCAATATCACAATCCTACAATTACATACACCACTGAAAACAATGGGAGTAATAATCTTTGCATGCATTTTTGAAGAAGCATTCAAGTGGTCTCTAGGAAGTCCAACATGTTTTTAGTTACCTATGTGAGGATCACTTAATCAGGTTCTT